ACAAGACAAACATTTATTTCCCTCTGATATTTTAAAATAATGAAATATCTAGTGATCTAAAAGGAAAGTGTCAAAAATTAAGATGTCTTGTCCTCTGACCAAAAAGGACATAATATTGTCTGAAGACAAAACTGCGTAAAAGTCTGTTCATGTGCTCACACATCGTGTTAGAACATCCCAAAATGTTATGGTGAAAGTGCACAAGCAGCCAAAAGCATCCATCTTCCTACACTCAGCCACTCAAATACCTGAGACACTGCAACCTCTCCAAGCTGTGTTACAGTTATAGAGTGGGAACAAGAAATCAATGCCTCAACAGAAAACCTGGCAATTTAATTTAAAGGCTTCTAAAAGTGCTTTAGTGCTGCAGGGCCTTTGAAGATCAATTACAGCAGCAGTCCACAGGACCGTGTATCCTATCCGATCAAAGCACTCCATTCCATGAGTCTACAGTCAAAACTTTTGAATGCCTGGGCATACATACCAATAAATTCAGTTTACCCTCAAGGTTTCCAACTTCAGGTTCATGTGTAACTTATTTAATAAAGACAAATTTCACTGGCTTTATTGTTTTTTGAAAACACCTTTCCATATTTTCACAAGTCTACTTCTTCACGAAGTGTTGTAAATATCAATGGGTCAAAGAATAGAAACACCAATATATGAAGCCCAAGTGAATTATAAAGACAGTACCACTGGGAAGGGAAGCAAATTAATTGAACTGGAACCGTAATGAACAACATGGAAAGAGACTAAAGTCTGGAAGAAAAATTGATAACCTGAAACACACAAATTAATAGACTTCACTGTAATTAGCAATGTCATTAAATATATTTCATATTCATGGCACAAAACCTACTACCTGTTCTAGATAAACGTGAACTTTAGTTAATGATACTATTGGCAATCTTACCTTAATTATCATGGTGCATCTTGTTCTGTGATAGACTACATGTGCTTTCATTCTTGTAAATTACCTTCCAGCTCATTGTGTGGAGTAATGAATCAGGGGTCATTGACACCCTACACACACAGTTGGCTCTTTACCCAATTAATTTTCAAATCAACTGTATTTAATGTAGAGCATAAAAGCATCTCCAGAATTTTCTATTTCTAATCACAGCAATGTAAATGAAAAAAAGATTTGTTTGCTATTTACTGTGCACAGTATTACAATAGTACAGTATAGAATTTTTTTCATACCACTGTAGTATCAGAGGTACTTAATTGTGTATTGGTCTTTGCACATTCTCCAGTGCCTGCACTTAAACATGTTGTAGTCTTTCCCCTATAGTAATTGCAACCTGAAGGCTGAAAACAAACAGAAATGCAAATAATTGTAAAATATCGGTTAGATGTAGAACACCCTGGAATTATTACAAGGATGATTTTCTGCCATTAGTAATGTAAGGGCAGGTTAGATGAAAGGAAAGGTGTAAAGATAATTGCTAAAAAGAGAAATTCCATTACTAAATGTCCTAACAGGTACTTGGATACCACCACTGAGGCAACAGTAACATTGTTAGCTGTCCATACTGCATTAGAGGAATGAAAACTTCACGGAATGGTCTCAGGAAAAGAAATATATATCTGCAGGAGACTATTTGAGCCTGACTGGGTTACACTGAGGATGGTGAAAAGGTAACACTGTCTCCCCAGTAAAAGAAAACAAGAAAAACACAACAGGGAAATTGTCAGGTTCAGGTATTTCAAACTCAACAATAACAGCAATTCTAAGCCCTATGCTACCAAGAAGAAGCTGTTATATTCTGTTGCTTCATCAAAACACTGAATATTTTTCTAGTTAGCAAGAATATTCCCTGGTTAGCAGTATCATGACATAAGTCATAATATTTCTACACCAATATGTCATGATAAAGCTAAAACAACCTGGGCATGTTTTAGCTTTATTTTTAAATTACATTCGCTTGATTACTCCATTTTGGGCAACAGCTTCTTCAGAGAACTCTCTCCTGTTGTAAACTAATACATAAAAAAAATCAATCCGTTTCCCCAGGCTCCTCAAAATAGATCAACATCTAAGTATATTATGTAATTATATACCAAGTATTACAGTAAAAACATTTTAGGGTAGATCTTGCATATGCAGTCATGACAAGCATATAAACAAGCATAAAATTTCTACATATTAGCAAATGGATATGCTTTAGCTGTCAATTACTTGTGCAAGTTTGGATTGCAATGACTACTCAGATATACTGGATGCAGTGCAAAGCAGCTAGACTGGCAAATGGGTTGAGTATGATATGCTGTCTTTATGCTCTCAGCTGCCTGGGTTTGATGTCAGGTGTTTGATATCAAAAAATAGCAGAGAGCTTTTGGACAATGCATTTTTTTAATCTACAAATTAAAGAGTAAATGAGCCCTCTACCTACCTGTCTAGGAAAAAAAAATTAAAATCTATTTATTATCTGGTTAGCAGCATGCAAAACCCACCATTTATTGTTTTTTAGAAAAGGTCCCTGGGATTAGAATTCCTCTTAGCAAAATTTCTTATTCATTATTACCTCAAAAATACAGAAACAGAAAGCACGTTCCCTTTTTATAATTCACAACATATCCTGAGGTAGACATTTCCCATGACATACCAGCTATATATTTCAAGACATCAGACAAGCTGTATTTACAAGCCACCAGCAATCTACTACTATTATTTATCTGCAAGCAGTAAAAGCTTTGCAGTATTTTGCATTACAGGCCAGAGCTAAAGCAAAGACCTGTTAAACACACGAAACAAGCACCAACCTAAGCAGACTATAATGATAACTTCTTGGGAATCCCACTCTTTTCTCTTCTGGAGCATACAGAGATATGAAGAAAGAAGCTGTAGGATGTACACTAAAAGGAGGAAGACACAAGTAAGTAGAACTGTGAAGCACACAAGTTACTGCATGCTCAACTGTTTTCCTTCTGAATCCTTATTAGGGCTTTATTCCTTATTATACAAGCATGGGATCTGCTGTCCTGACCAAACTCCTGATCTATGAACCAATACCAAATGCACTTCAGTGAGACAAGTTTCTTGAAAGAAAAATAACTGAACCACTGCTATTTCACAGAAGTGTCTGCTCTTATTCTCTGCCTACCATGATTCTGAGACAGAATGACAAGAAGTTCTTCTTCCAGAAAATTAGTATTTGACTGCAGACCAACATATCATGGTAAAAGCATAAAAATCAGCAAAAGTCAGATTAAAGCAAGCAATATGTCCTTAGTACTATTGGGCTTATATTGCCCAGCTGGTCTGAGTCTCTAACTGTTCTTGCAGGTAGCAAAGCAGTGGCTTTACTAGAGAGGAACCAAAACTTTCATAACCTGAGAGACCAGGCTGCTATCTTACACACCTTTGTGTTGCATAGGGGATTGTTACTAATGTAAATGTATATCCCCCCAAAAAATGCTTATAGTTTGTGCTTATTTCTCAGTATTAAACACAGTCAGCGTAATTGAGTGAATTCTAGTCAGATCAACAATTGTAGAGAGTGCATTGTTTTAATCCAAGCCTTTCAGTTTTGTGAGGATATTTCTTGTTCTGCTCTAAATGCTACTCACCATAGGCACCAGAGATAAAAAAGTCTGAAAGTTCTGATCCTAGAAGCATCAGCAGTAAAAGCAATTTGTAATGCAATGATATATCAGACTCTGCTTGTAAAACAGAAATACAGTCAACTACCAGAGAAAACTGTGAATACGTAATTAGAACAGTTAAGATTAATTAGCTGGATTTGCTCTTAATAGCCTGGATCAGTGTCTGGAGATAGCTAAGCTGTAGCTACTGAAGTTTCACCAATTCAGTCAATGATGACTCTTATATATAGTTAAAAAATAACAGCTGATGACCATGAAACTATTAACATAAATATACATTAAAATGCTATCTAATTTAATCTAAACAGTAAAATTAATTACATTCTTTTCCTAATTTTTTTTTCCAGGAGATCTATAATGGTCTCAAAACACAACAGACAGCTAATTATCGTTAAAGCCTACAATATACAATTCTGTCTCAATAGAATGCAACACAGAGCTTACAATAAAGCAGAATTTTTATCTGTCCTAGCTCATTAGAACTGCATCACTCTCCTGGCAACACAGAATGAGGTGAGCAAAGTAATCCTCTCTCACTCTCCTCATATGCAGTACTATTTGAGCTGTTGTACTGTCAAGTTCCTGGAATCATTATCTATAACCTGTCAGAAATTGAAATCCTGACATAAAGGACATCAACATTCATCTGAGTAGTCTGTGTGCCTTTCAAGTTCTGAAGGTTATCTCCACAACAATAAGATGCTGAGAGGGAAGAAGCCATTCGGTCCATGAGAGAGGAGACAGAACACTTGACACTGAAGACGAAGTAAACCATGCAAAACTTGGCATCTTTGGTAAGATTCCCTTGCAAAAACTCCCTTTCTGTGATAACACGAAGGAAAACTAAGTACAAGGCTGATAAAGACCTTTCAGTATCATTTATTGCTCCTGAGAGGGGAGAAAGAAGCTAACTAAAAAAGTTAGTTTTAAACTAACTTTTAAAGCTTAACAAACATCATAATTCCTATAACTAGGAATGCTGCATTGCAGCTGAGTAGTCCAGAGGACAATAAGACTTTTTTGTCCTCTTCCCAGGCAAAGGCCTTTTATAACAGTTGTGTTCACAAGATTTCACTTCATGTTCCTATTCCATTATAGACCTTAAAATGGGTTGAAAGGATATATAGCTCATCCACCTAACCACTATAACATAGGAAAACCGCACAAAACTGTTCCTCTGAGATCATGTTCCTTGCTCTAGGCCAGCAATCACACCTGCTGCAATAGCCCTCTTGTAGAAGAGATGAATGCTCTCCAGAGCTCAGACTTCTGCCATTCACACTCTCTCGGTATTAGTTTCACTCAATTTCAAACATGAATTGCAGAAAACATATGTCAGTCAACATTTTCACACCTATTTATTTAGAGCCTTAAAGGCATTTTCTATTTACCTTGTTTTTTAAAAAGGTTGCTGCGCACTATTTCCTTCATGGACTGCACTTTCTGCTTCTGCAGTTTCACTGGTGGAATGCAAGTGTAAAATTCATATAGTAGTTGGCTGCATGTAAAGGAAAAGTGTCATAAATACCATACAGATAAATTAATCATGTGTTAATGAAGGCAGAGAGAAAGAGCAAAAGACCATGTGTTTCTGAAGATTTATCACTTTTTAAGACTTATATATATCACAAATATTGGCAAGGGACCAGCATCAGGTTGCAAAGAAAACTTTAAAGAGAAACAAGATCAGGATTTTGGCCACATTTACAAATGTTTATTACATTCCATTTACTTTATTACTCTCCATTTTTGCATGTAGTGGAGGCAATTTATCTTGATCTGACAAATAAAGATCCTTTTTCCAGCTCCTAAAGTCAGATTTGGTTTTCTGGAGTATAGCTTATAAAGGGAGGGGCAGGGAGAGAGGAAAAGAAAAATAAAAATAAGCTCCACTTGCTTATTTTATTAACTAAGTCACTGCCTTAGTGTTGGGCCACCACAATGAATTGTCATCACCTGAAAACTCCCTATTCAAAATTTATGCCCAGGGTTCCACCACTGTCTTGATCAGTAAGAACTGCTGTAGCTTTGTTGACTTAAATTGATCAATAAAAATTCATTGCTGACATCTAGGAAATGTTCTAAGTGGCTCACCTTAGTAACTTGGCATCAAAGACCATTTCAACATCATGAAGAACTGATGGGATGTACTTCAAGGCAGCAACCTGCATTGATACACAGATCACATCAATCTTGGGTGTTTACATGGACATAAACAATACAGTGCACACACTGAAACAAATACACAAAAAACAAACATTATATTTCAACTTGTTTGCTCAGACTGAAATTTTGCATCACATTTGAATATTAATTTCACCACAGAGTCACACATGGGCTCTTATGCTGAGGATATGCAGAGGAACTTACATACAACAGTCCCAAGTGGATCATATTCTCTTTGCAGACCAGTGGAAGGGTGAAGACTGTCTTTGTAGAAAATATTCTCTTTGCAGACCACTAGAAGTGTCATTATGGTGCAACTATGTAAACCAAGCACTGATCAAAGCAGGAGCTCTTTGATCATACCTTGTATCAATTCCATCCAAGAAAGGTGCCATACAGGAGGCAGAAGTCAGGACAGCAGTCATCTATCCACCCCAAAGCCACACTTTCCAGAAGAGATGAAAAGGGTTGTCATGTCCCTAACCAACCATCTGCAGCTAAGCTATGTGATGGTTTATCTTATCCTATCAATTTCTGACATATATTTTGACAGTGTAGTGGGATAATCAAACCTTACCCAGACAAGTATAACAAAGAGGCATGTTACTGTTATTCCTGGACAAGAATACTTCAGCAGGTAATCTTCAGGCTCATAATCAATACTAATACTTAGGGCAAATACCCATAAAGACTAACTTGCAGTACTGACTTGATTGTGCACTTTTTGAGTGTTAATTTCTACTAAGATTTTGCTGAGAACTAATTTCAGTGATGTGAAGTCTTCTATTACTGATCTACCTGTTAGAAGCCTATCTAGGCTCACACTTCTCTGTACCTCACAAAGCAAGCTCCTTGTTAAAAACTTAGTCTGTTCTTTATTGAGAGTAGATGGTTAGAATATAGGCAAAGAGAGCAAAGCTTTCTTTGGCTCTCATTTAGATCTTTTCAACACCACAAAGCTATCATTTTATTTATATCATCTTCCACTGTAGTAGACAATTAAAAAAATAGAACTATTCAGGTCTTGATTGAAAAAAAGTTTATTCTGCACAAGGGTGTATACAGCGTTTCAAAGTGGCTCAATGCTGCCTTAAGATGCCTTCAGATAAAGTTTTAAACAAGACTGTGAAACCCTGGGGCAGCTTAAAACACCCATACAAATGGTGTGTTGGGCTAGAAACTCGCCCTGGCTTGTTTTATTTCAGCAATGTGCTGTTTCTCACTCTTCAAGTGACAGGTACTGTATGAAGACACTGTACAGCAGCAACATCTGAATTTCATTTTATAGCTATTCAGAGTTACTGTGGAAGATGTTTGGTAAAGGGCAGGACCACCAGTGGGCACCATGTATTTCAAGCAGTGCTCCACTGACACTTGGTCTGTTGTGCTGTGTGGCTTTCTCATATTCCCTGTTCTATACTTGCACGAGGTGGGAAATGGGAAAGGTATAGCTACCATTGCTCTGCAGATCTGTAGCACCAACTGAAGTACAATAATAAGTATATCCCCTGCATCATTTTAGACTCCCAAGTTTCATTTGCAATAATTGCTTCGAATGATGCACTATGGACACAATTGAGCACAGCCCTTAATGAAGTCATAAAAACCTCCTAGTCAGCAGTACAGGATGTTCTGCATTCTTCAGACCTTAAGAGATTAGTTTTTTTAAGCAGGACACAGATAAACCCACAGCACTGCAGAAAATTATTTCTTACATATACAATGTACTGTTAAATTTATTTTAACCTTTACTCCTGACCAAGTTTATTTTTAGCTGCCCTCTTTTGCAGCATTCCATTATACATATTCATGAAATTCAAGCACCCATGAGATGAAAAGTATATTGGTAGAAATCATTGGTGCTCTGCTGCTTAATCTAATTTTACTTGCTATCAAGGCAACTTTTAACAAGTTACTGTGCCTTTGCCCATTGTACACCTGAAACAAAGCATCACTGTCAGTATGTTTCTAGCCTTATTCTCTCCAAAGAAAATTGTGTAGAGGTGCATAGATTAAAGTTCTTAAAATCTACTGCAGCAGTATGGATGGATCAAAACAGTGTGGGGAGGAATGAGAGGAGAAAGGTGGCATCTTCAGGTTACATTATTGTCATACTTTTCAATGCCACAGACAATTTCTTCTTCCTATGTGTCAGTGACCTTGAGAACGTGTCATATAAGGTTTCTGCAAGCAAGCATAGCACTGGGAGTTCTGCTTTCTAAAATCACTGCCTAGGAGCAAGCTGGGCATAGCTGACATTTGGAACAGACAAGACCATCTGTAGGTCAAATGTGGCATGTCAGTTGGGGAACAGAACAGTTGGAAAAGAAGCTGGGGCTTGATTTGTAAGGTGAGGTTGAGAGCACAAGCTAGTCAGTGAAAGGGCACACTCAGACTGCAAATCTGTTGGCCATACAAAAGTCAATAGTATGGCCTTATAAAAACACATAATCTGAAATATAAAAATCCTTCATCCAATTTTATTCCCCAGAAATACAGGGTGATTTACACAGACACAAAACATACCTGCTGAATATGATGGGGCTTTTCCCTCAAGTGCTAAGAGAAAGAAAAGCAGGTTCTGACACCTCCCTACCTTCCCCTCACCAAACTATTTACAGGTTCTGGAAATTTGTTTCCAGGTTTCCAGATTTCAAGGAGTCTATCTTTCAGAAGTAGAGATTTTAGGAAAAAATTCTCTAAATACTATCAAAATTTATCAGCAATGGCTACAGAGAAGTAACTGATATATGCAAAAGAGCTGTACCATGATCTCTATCAAAACAAATTAAAGAAAGGTTGAAGTCTAGTTTGTAGGACGATCAATGCTCCTTCAGTAAGTCAGTGTAAGTTCTGAAATGATTATTTTAGATAAGTACAAGAAAAATCTGTAAATAATTGTTCAAAGGAGGAATCCTTACCTCACACATGCACACTGCTACATACACCAGTGAATCTATAACACTCCTAATCTCAACTACAAGTGGCAAACTCTTCACAAAGTGCCATCCCAGGACCTGCACACAGGTCACTGCAGGTCAGTTGGTTGCTTTCAAACATCAGCAATTGTATAAAATGACTTCATGCAATGCTGAAGTTGAGAAGCCAAAACAAAACAAGAAGGAAAAAGGAAAAAACCCTAAACCAACACACAAAAATACACAAACAAAAAAACCCCACAGACAAAAAAAACCCCACAAACAAAAAAAAACCCCAACCCAAACAACACCAAAAGAGGCTAATTTGGATTAACATGTACACTTCCAGTTGACCTGGAGTGACATGTTTTATAAACTAACAATTCAGTCTTCAGCTGTTCAAAGCTCTTATGAACAGACCCAGATATCTACCACTCAGCACTACACTAAGTCAAAGCATCTCTCCACTTCAGACAGCTTTAGAGCAAGGGAGTGAAAAGCTACATTTTAAACTTTTTGTAAACCTGAACAGCATATAACAGATTAAGAAGTAAAATATCCCTCAGTAGATAAAGTTAAATTGAAACAATGAAGTGCTTCTGGCACTGACTAGGCTGTTCCATATAACATGCAATTTTATAAACAATCTTTTCCTGAGTGAATTAATATTCAGCACAAGTCTGAGTGTGATTGCTATCAGTGATAGTGACTGGGGAATCACTACTGACTAAAATAGCGAATTTCAAGTTTTAAAATAAAAAATAAAAAATTAGAAGAGACCAAGACATTTCAGGTTTCAAAATAATTCTTTAAATCTTCTAAAGTTAAACCTCACAGGTATCTGGACAACCAAGGATGAAATAAGAGTTAAGAATTCACATTACAAGGCTCAGCAAACTAGTTCATTTTAAGTTTTAATATCCTGAGAAAGCCAATTACTTTAGCTTTCTTCAGGGCTTCTCAAACTTTCCTCTCTGGTATCTTTGGACTGTAATCTACTTGGACTCAATCAATTGATCTTACCAATCTGTGTTCCACTTTATTTCATATCAATGATAATTTCAAATGTGATAGATTTGTGCCTGGCTTGATATTCTGATTATTTCAACAGAGTCTTTGAACTTTTCTCTCTGGATATGTGAAGCATAACACCTTTGGATTCCCATGTGTCTGTAGTATCTCTGAATAACCACTTGTCCCTTAGTCTGCAAAGTTAAGTTTGTACTACTACAACATCTATCACTGTCATCTCAAATTCCCCATGGGAAATCAGTGTTGAATGTAGCCAGAGAGACAAACTTATGAATTTCTTTCTACTCCTTTCTCCTCCATCTCACCAGAAATTATCTCCATTTTTCTGGCCTGTACCCACCTACCAGAGCAGAAGGATCTGAGTATCAGCATTGACGTCTCCTCCGCACAGGCACAGAAATACACACTGTCTGTTGTGAAAGCTATGGCTAACTTGCCTGTGGAACTCATAATGAAGGTGGGGGGGAAGTGTTGGGTTAATTTTATTTTTGATCCCCCCAACAAGCTTATTTCCAGCAGCCTACACTAAGCTACAGTGAGACACTTCTCATTCCATGCCTCTCCTATTAGAATTGTATAATTTTAATGCAGTGGTTTTATTTACTGTATGTAAAGCAACCTCTTTGTAGGCTTCTCTCAGAAACAGCTGTATGAGTCATCAGTACTGGAAACAACAGCAAAGTTATGATATAAACCAGTATTTCAGATCTGCCATAAAATGTTCCTGCTAAAAAGAGAACTTCCAGTACCCAGTACAGATTTAGATACCTAAAAGCCCACTAGTGCTTCATGGTTGTGAATAAATAGGACACTGTTTTCACAACTGACAGCACTCAGAAAATCAAAATCTTAATTTTCCATATGGTATTGAGCAAAGTATAACTGTTCAATAGCTAGTTTGCCTTTGGAACACAGTTGCTCTTCAAAATGGGCATAGACTTCTTTCCTTTAGCCCTTCTAAGAAGAAAATGGGCATAGACTTCTTTCCTTTAGTCCTGCTCAGCTCTATTTTCAAGGTTCTGTCATTTCTTAAAAGCTTCAGCAAAGATATATATTTTTGCTAAACAGATGTAATATTCAGAACTAGCATTAAATATGCAAATATAGAAACGAGGGTAAGCAAAATCAGCATTCCTGAGTCCATCCAAAGCCACTTAGCACTACAATACACTGGTGCTTAAGCACACCCAGCAGTCATTTCACAGGCAGCACTGCCACTTGCAGACACATTAATGTGCCCCAGCAACAGTTAAGCAAGCAAAACAGACCTCTACAATGATTGCTTGTCACGCTCAAGAGAGAACTACCCTGCTCATTAGAGAAAACACAGATGGACCATCCCACACAACCACCTGGAGATTCAGGCAGGGCACCATGCAGTGCCATGATGCCTCTCCCAAAGAGCATAAAAGCCTCCAAGATCTAGTTCTTAATTAACAAACTGATATAGCACAAGTACCATAACAACATTATTACAAACATTATTATATAAATCATCCCTTTCGGAATTACTTTCAACACTTTCTTTCTTCACAAGTTTCTCCTGCTTCTGATGCAGTATCCAAATGTATAAACTATTCCCAGGAAGGTCTCTACAGAATTATCAAATAATGACAGAGTGTATCTGAGCAATTTTCAAATGCATTTAGAACACCACTACAACCATGTTGTTATACAATTAGAGCAGTGTTTACTTTTTTAGCTCTTATGCAGGTGCACATTATCACTCCATGCAAAGTGTCAGCTAATACAAAACTCAAGATCAGCCACCTGAGGTTTTATTCAAAACAGACTTTTTCACTGGCCTCCACTTCTAGTCTGTCATTTCAAAAGGAATCAAAACGCAAAGCCAGAGAAAAATTTGAGCCCAATAAATACACTGAGTTCATAGAAAAGAATGTATGAAGTATCAATATTGCAGTTGCCCAATTAAAATCTTCTGATTTTTACTTTACAGGAAGCCTCGATAGTTATCTGTTTTAATACAGAACTACATACAAGTCATTTGATACTAATGATGGAAATAACTCCTTCTTTTCCAGTTTTATTAAAAGATCAGATTCCAAAGTGTTGACATCACTAAAATGGATGGGAATAGGAAACTCTGATCCTATTTTCAGTTGTTTAAATAACATACCTCCAAAAGGCTGATACATTAAACTTTACTTTCCAAACTAAGATGGTGAAATCCCTGTTTAGAAATATCTGAAGAGACTCAAGAATTAAACATTCAGGTCTCACTGGAGGTTTCCTGTCATTAGATTCCTTGAAAGATTCAGCTGTGTTTCGGTTCTTTCACTCATTATATTTATAAAATTCCTATAAATATACATTCTCCTGGTGTTTTCAAACTAGACTTCAAATTTACTAGACAACTTGGTCTTCCAACAGAGGAGAATTACAAAACAGACATAGTGGATAAGTTTCCTAAGAGTGTCTTTTCCCTGAATTAACAAGAATAAAAATAAAAAGCCCACAAACAAAAACCATATTAAAAACCAAACCCAGCTGGTTTCCAAGCACACACCAACCTGCAATAAAATGGCAGTTTTGTGTTGGCTTTTCATCAGGTTGTTAATGGATTCAAAGAGTCTCCTCATAGATTCTTCAAATTCTGTTTGTTCTTTGCCTTCATATAATCTGTTGAGAGATGCATTTGATTATCCTTTCAGAATCAGAAAGTTTCATCATCCTAAATGTAACAGATTTAACATTAAACATATATTTCAGAAGCTGATGCATTTTTATGTACATAGATATTTCCCCAATGGGTTATTACTGCTCTTCCCTGTATTGTGTAGCAATTCTTCAGTCTGAACACAACATAACCACTTTCAATTGTTTTAAAAGCCTTTAAAGTATGACATCTCCCAGATTTGAGCTTGAAAGTGAAAAGTCCCTTACAAAGTGATATATGTAAAAAAAGCCAATTTTGATTCTTTTTTCCCACTACAACTGAGCTACTCTAGGATATTTTTCACATAGTATACGACACATGTTCTTTGCTAAATTTCACTTCAAATCACCTGTTCTGAAAGCAAATTTTAAAAGACAACTAATTATTTGCTTGGAAACAATGGATCTTAGGCCAATGAAAGGAGGAAAGCAAACACTTCATGCTTTCAGAGTCTGTATTATGTAAACCTTTGGCTAATGTATATGACCTTTCTAAGAAACACAGGTACAAAACAAACAGCTGCACAACATAACTATAGCTCAGCTGACTGGAGTAAAAAACCTGTTGCTTTCCTTACATCTCTAGAACTTCGACAGCACTGAATGCAAATTAAAGTAGAACTTGGTTAGCTTCAATGTATCTGCCTGACAACAAGCAAAAGAGTCTCCTATTTTATGTCTAATGCTAGAAATCATTATTCACCTCTTTCCTACATACCTTTAATTTTGTAATGTCTCTTACTTTTCCACAAGGCATCTTAGTTTCTTAAGCAAGCCATCAAATGAATGAGAGAACGATCTAAAGAGCTCTCTCAGCTCTATTAATTCAAAATATTTGTCTCCAGGAAGGCTAATGTCAACCCTTGCAAGTACTTTAATTGTAAATCATAACTTTTCTCATGGGAAGAAAATACATTAATCCATATTTTTTTTTCAGTGTTTTCTTCTTTTCCATGGCCAGTCTGACAACAGGAAATTGACTACAAAACTTGGATCACAGCAGCTAGAGCTGGATATGCAGCATCGGGATACTGGTCACTGTCTGGTTATTTAACCAGGGTACCATTGGCAAGAGCTATTTCTGCATATAACAACAATTCCATAATGAATTTGGCATTTCAAACCTCCAGTTAAGTAGGAGTAGGTATGTATAGCTAATTACATGAACATGCAACATATTGCAACAATCTAGTTTATGACAGATTGTCTGATGTACATACTAGGGATTAAAATGGAGACCTGAAACAAATCCCCTCTCTTCTGACCTTCATCCAGTCAGAAATTACCTGTGATGCCCTACACAATGATCCCTTACTCAAAACTCTACATCTTCTCTTTTGCCATGACATGTATTATAAAAATATAGAATAAAGCTTTTGAACTCCTGTCTGTATTCTGTTCTTGTGAGCACCATCTCCTTCCTTATACAGCTTTATACCTTCTTCACCTGTAGCCAACTATAGATAGCAAATTCCTAGAGACAAAAATATTTCTAAGGGGCTATCTACTAGCAGCAAATACCTTCTGAATCTCCTACTTCAACCAAAACTTCAAAACTCAAGTAGACTTAATTTTACAAAACTATAAATCGACCAGATTTTTGTGGGAAAAAAATAAAAATAGATGGTGGAATAACAGAGAGAAATTGTATTAGAGCTCCCACTGAGCAAAACCAGCTAAACCATAGCACCTTCCTGTTCTCTTGAATGCCAACCACAAACATAACATCCAACCACTCAGGCTACCTACAGGCCCAAGTTTGTCCCTGCCTATCTTCTAAAGAAGGGAGGAAATGGGTTTGTGGCACATAGTGAGAGCCTTAAAGGTCAGGAGAGCTGGGAGGGACAGTTACCAATGTGTAGTTTTTCTCCTTCCAGTTTTCATCTCCTTCATTTTCCCATCCTCCTTTATCCCTCAACCTGAATACCATCTGTAAATACTACACCTCATCCGTGTGGCTGAGCTACACATATCTAGCCCATTGTGTCTTCTGTACAAAAGTCCTTAACTGGAGATCTGAAACTCTAAATTCAGCTGGACCATGATCACTGAAAATTGCATTGTTCTATGCACAGCCTGAGCTGCTGAACACCATGTTCTCAAGGACAAGTATCCAGCCTCAAGCCATCTGTCACGATGTTTGTCCATCCATTAGTCTTAGGCCAAGCCACCTGACACAAAGAATAATCACCCTTTGAAACTGGCTCCTATTACTAAAGACACCCCTGGAACTTACAGTGAGAATCAGAAAGCAGATTTTAGAACATTCCTTCTCAAAAAAAATACCTCAGCAATGTCTGTATTTTAAGTCAGTTGACAGCTTTTATGTTTTATTTGTGAAAATCAAAAATACAGTTCTGCTCCAGAATCAACTGTTTCTGTTTCTCAAGTCTCCTTCTATTTCTGATAGTGGGCTGCAAGTTAAATGACATTATCCTGGGTACTTACTGTGAAAACAATGTCCTTGATCTAACAATGAACTTGAAAACATATTCCAGTGCTTTCAGAGTTCTTAGGATAGGTTCGCATTGCTCCCCTCGACTGGAAGTATCCAAGTATGTCTTCAGAACAGACATTAATTTCCTGAAGTTAAAAAACATGGTTTAAATAATCTTTTTTAATTTTTTAAATTAACTTCTCTGACAAAAAAACATGGTTTAAATAATCTTTTTTCATTTTTTAAATTAACTTCTCTAACTTTTTTGTTAATCCTGGAAACACTTTTACAGAAGTTTGCAATATACATGCACAAAGTAACACAAAATTACTTCTGCCTACCTACACTAAGCAATGATTAAACATTGCTCTAAATTAACTGCATGTAAACATTACATTATCCTGGTACACAACAATATCTGCTTAAAGTATTTATTTTATTTAAACACTTCCTTATTTTTATCCAAAAAGCAACTTTTTTTCTAAATACATAGCCTGCTACGAGTGTGCAAAAGTTCATCTAACACTAAGTCCCATAATTTATATTTATAGAATCATCTTAAATGATTAAACCAATATTAATGATGTAATCTTGATCTTAATGTTGCCATAAGAACTAAGATAAAGGTGATTGGGGATTTTTTCTTACATCACTACAAAAATGGGAACCTACTCTCCCCTAACACTAAACAAACAAAACCAACCAACCAAACTCTCTGCGTAACTAATACACATCCTCAGTCCTACTGCCTAACTCTCATTTCAGGACCAAAATACTGTGCTTTCAGCCTCTCAGCCTTCTGGGCATTACATCCTTTGTGTGTTTCCATTTACTCCTTTTTATATCTTCTCTGGTTTGGAACAAAATTTATGCAGCTTGTATGTAGGGGCAGTCCACTCAAGGTCCCTCAGCTGTCAGTGTTAAGCCCTCTCAGAATTCTGTAAGAGCTAGGACAAATGGATGACTAAATATGAACTGAATAAATACATAACAGTTTGGCCAATAGACCATAGTGTAACATGGTCATAATATGTCTGGGACACGGAATTTCCTTCCTAAATAGGAATTTGGCCATATAAAGCTACTTGATTATTTCATAAATGATTCTTGAAACAGAGCAAATCTGCCATGAAGTGCATGGAATCAATAATGCCAAGAAAAGACATTACGTGGGGAACAGTCATGGAAATTATTATTTTGCCTGTAACGCCTTGATTAAATCATCAGAAACCCCCAGACACTAGAAATATTTTATGCAAATAAGGCTAAGAGGCTCTGTGCCATCTTTCTCCTCTTTCACAATAACACAAAGCATTAAACTACACATGCTCATTACCTATGGAGTGACAGATGATTAAAGAACAATATGTAGTTTGCACTAAAACTGTCTGAGCCCAATAATGCTAACTTCAACTTTCCTAGAAAGTGAGAAAGGGCTGATTGTGCACTGCTGCCTTTCAGCTTTAGCAGACTCATGTTCTAATGCATGATTTGTGTGACATATCCCGAGTTAGACCTGATGCAAATTCAGCACAGGACACTATAAGATACCCTCAAACCATTTATATCCCAAATTAAATTACTGCTTCAATCTGCCACCCCATTAAGCTGCCAGAACAAGATTTCAGGTAGATTAAAAAAATACATATATCCTGTTAGAGCACATCTCCAAAATCAGCACTAACTGAAAATGTTAACCTTCCTTCCTAATTCAAAGTCATTTTATCCTACTATCATCTGTAAAAACCTCTTCTAAATAAAGTAGGAAGCCAGGATTAAATTTATTGCATAACTTGTCTCCAGAGTTTTTACCCTCTCCTAAGAAACCATGTATTCCCATTGGGCAGTATCTGGAAGCTCCAAAAAGCCAAGAAAAAATAAGAAAACCCCACCCACAAGTCTGTCCACCTGCCTAGTGGTATGAGTATGTAACAAATGCTAAAACTCCATTTCACAGCAGAACACATAACAAATATCAAAATTCCAGTTCACTGCACTGAAACCCTCCTCGTGCAACATCAGACTGAAATGCATATGAAGACATGACAGTTCCCAAACAATTTATTTCCTCTTGAGTTTGCTTGCTGAAAAAAAAAAAAAAAGAAAAGAAAAAAAGAAAATACGTGGAAACCTATGTAAATGGGTTAAGGACATCCTCAAGCCCTCACTCAAGACATTTCAGCTTAAGGACAGGGATATAAAGGGAGAGGCTTTTCAGCAAAGTACCTTCTGATAAATTTAACAGGATACAGGTGAAGTGTTCAGACCCAGCAAAATCCACAACAGAAAACAAATGCCAAAGAATCAGTTAACCCCAAATTAATGACTTCTTGTTCATTAATTCCAGTTATAATCATATGTCTCTCAGAGGCAGGGTTGTTTCCAGATAAACAAACAGCAGCATCAAAACAAGTCACCATTAATTACATCAGAAAAGTCACAAACTGGACTTACTTTCTTATGTGATGGTGAAGGTTTAGGAAAAGAGGAAGAAGAGAAAGCAAACTTACTTGTATGCCAGTGTTGCACTAAAATGCTGTTGGATATATGCTTCCAAAACAGTGTTAAAGTGTTGAAACTTCCGGTCTGCAATGAGCCCTATGATGTAGATCTAAACAGACATCATTAGCTACAGTCACATTTCAAATTTAAATATCAGCCATTCTCAAATATTTCTGATAACTTGATATATAAGAGTGTAAAAGAAATCAGACTTTCAGTCAATTAGTAATATTCCATCTGTTCTGTAGGGATTTTAAGACTAATTCTCTGAAATGAACAACTGCATAGCTCATTCAAAATTATAAGGTTCTTTACTTTGACAAATAAAATCCTTGGTGCTGATTCTTACCAATGCATCAAAGACAAGGATGTCATACTCATTACTGTGGGAATGTTCCATCATGATGTTAAACAGGGCATCCAGTGTGTCTTGGAGAAACTATAGAACAACACAAAATGACAAACTGGTAACCATTTCAACTTGAAAACCTCATAAGACAGTTTTCAGAGAGGTGACTTGGTTTCTCTCAAGAATTTTAAATACCTTTACTGAAGAATCACTTAAATTCAGCTCACATTTCCAAGGATTTAGGCTTTAATTTCTTTAATTTTAAGAATTTACATTCTTAGACACATGAGCAATCACTAATACATTCTTAGCACAAAGCTAACGGAAAAGCTAAAAATATTGTATAAATGCATAACTCTCTAAAACTACATTGCTAGTTCCTTAGTGATACAGATTAATAGCTGTTATTTTCATATATACATGATGATTAAAAACACTTTTCCTACTTCTGTGGTCTGATTCAAACCTACTCTTAAATGAAAGGAAAGTACCCCAGTAACTTGGGAGACAAATGTTTGTTGAAAAAACCTCTATCTCCTTTTTCCTCTTTTTAAATTCTCCTTCCTCCTCCTCTCCAGAGACATCTCATGTTCGTATTGAAAGTCACAAGTGCAATAGTGTCTGCTATTTTCCAAAATATTAACAGCTTTTTGTTCATATTATACTCATTAAATTAAGAAAGTGCTTCATGGGGTACAGAAACTAATTGGTTTTAATATCAACATGTAAATTAATATTGAGAACTGCAAAGAAAGCAGTAGAACTTGTTTGTGATGTTTCTAATTGACAAAAGCAAACAGCTGATCAGAGATATTGGGAAATATTTTACCATTATTGCCTTCATCACCTTTCAAGTTTTTAAATGAGATTTTCCGCACGTGCTCAAAAGTTTACCTGTGAGATACACGTAAGCACCAAGGCAGCAAGGACCCCAAATAATATTCCTGGTATTAGATTCTCTTGTGCACAAAATTTCCAGCAGAATAAAACAATAGAATGCAGAAAACTATCCCAATAAATTAATTTCCAGTGAAAGCAGACAATTTTTGGTAGCAACCCTGAGAATTCCCACATCATAACAATAGCCAAGAACAGAGATATTTGGGAACAAGGAGGAAAAGAGCTGGCTAGCACTGTGAAGAATCCTGTCCAGGTGCTTACTTTCTTGCTCATGCCTTTCTCAAACTATCCCTAATAAAGATACTACACTGCATGACACTCACAAAACAAAGTATAACTGACAGGTTTCTTTCAGTCCCCATGTGTACTGACCCTCCAGTTTTTGTTTCTTTCTGAAATTACATAGCATTTTCTCTGCCATGAAAGGACACGAGGAATAACTATTATTAGAATAACTATTTAAAGATGTACCTTCACAACTTCCTCTCCATCCACAATCTTCAGCTTTTCCAGGTTCTCCTGAAGCAGCTCTGGCTTCATACGCCACTTCAAGAGACCCAGTAAACCCACTAACAGAAAATAAAGGGACAGACATTAACATTTAAAATGCATTCATCAACTTGTGCAAAGGTCTTCTTTCTAAAACTTCCACCTGTTTAGAAGATACCTACCATTCTGAGTTAACTTTGTAGAACAAACAAGGGTTGAAATGCTAAATGCATCTCGGGAGCTTACTGAAAGTCCCCCCCCAATGCTGGAGCTCCTGACTGTGGTTGCTCCTTTGCTCTCCATCTGCTGACGTGTAGAAGGTAAAGTCAAGTAAGCACTAGCATCCTCCATTTTTTTACTGTCCCCCTGAAACAAAACATACCATTCATTACATACTTCACACCACTTGATTTAAAACTAGATGTTTTCTGGACTTCCTAGATGAGCAAAACAGACAGTGTTGCTAAAATTTATGATTGAATCACACTTGCTTGTTAGACAGACAATGGGAAAAAGACTTGAAATTTTGATCCAAAAGTCTCTGAAAAGGATTCAGTGTTTGAAGGCAATAAAAATAAAGCACACTGTTTAAACTTGGCAGTTTTCAAATTACTTACTTTGAGAGGCCAGATGTATGACTGTTTTAAACACTTACAGCTTACAATTACTGTTTTTAATACTAGAATGGGCAAACATATGTCAGAAAATCTGTCTATTTTTCCCAACCATAAACTAGGTCAGCTCCATTTAGCATCGCTCATCCATGCTGTCACTTCAGAAAAAAAATTATTGGGCTCATGCAGAAATGAATTACGTGGAATTTCATAACCAACATGAACCACACAGTCACACAATGTGATCATTATTTTCCTGCTAGTCTCAGTATTTATCAAGGATGTTTTCAATGAGGAGAAGAGAAATAACTAGGCATTGCCATTAATCTTTTTTTTGATTACCTAAACAACTTGATTTAGTTGGATGCATCTCACTTGCCATTAATGTCACAACAAACTAGTTTACTGAAAAGAGCAATATCTAAAGAGAGAAATATCTAAAGTTAATTATGTACTGGAATCGATTCATGGTTCTTAGTTCCTGCTAGACACCATTCTCCAAGGAGGGGGTGGGGAGGAACAAACCAAAACAGGACTCTCAAAACATCTGTTCTTGCTTCAGTTCACAAAGTCAAAGATGCTATCTGCGTCCCATCAGGGCAAGCCAAAATTCTTCTTCACACCCAAAATCAAATTCCAGAAACTTTCACTTTTGTACCCAAGTAGCTACACAGAACAGAGTCAAACAAACAATTCCCTAAAATTACATTCCCAGAGTGTTCATGTGACAAAGGTTCTAAACAAATCAAACAACACTTTCCCCACCTCCAGCAGGACTTATTGTACCCACCCAGGTACTGAGCTTCAGCATAACTTTCTCTATACTACAGGCAGCCAAAAGCACAAATGTCAGTAAAAAGAGTAACCATCTCTCACTGCACTTAGATAACATCTCTCTCTCCTTAAAATGCAGAGCAATGTTTACTGACCACGGAACAAGTTAGGTCAGTTTCTGTGTTCAGATGAAAAATGCAATATTACCTTTGATAGAATAATAAAACTAATCTAGCACTAAGTAAATATACGAAGCAGTCAAATACAACAGTGTGAAAAAAAGTGTCTTGTGAGGGCAAGAAAGGAAGAAAATTGTTCCAGTACCTTTAGCACTAACAAATCGTGGATGCCATCCTGAAGAGTTGTTCCATCCTCCTTCATTAGTCTTATGTAGGCCATTGCAAAATTCTTTTCACCTTTATCTTTAGCTGCAAAGCAAAATCTTTTCAGTTGACTACTCATCACTGAATTAAAATTCACTGAAGTAAAAATTCCCTACTTACACTCTTGAGTCGACCTGTGTCTGAACATGAAGCGCAGATGTATCCTCTGCATGTCTTCAATGGGTACTGCTACCTTTTGTAGAATCAGAAGATCATGAGTTATGGGGGGTGAGGACAGAAGCTGATTTCATGTGTAAGGTGCTCCTATTTTAGAATAAATAAGCACCACTTCTGCTGGTTCCCTGATGCCTTTCACAGGCCATTTAAAGCTACTGATCCTGATCACAGTAGCAGAAGTAGTGGCTGATAAGGAATAATCTGTTAGATTTTGCTGAAAGTCAAATGATTTTGCTCAAAAGCCAAAGAAATGAAGCACTGATCCCGGTAAGTTAATGCACATAGGTGCTTGTACACTAGAAAATAAGTACACTGCAGTTAACCACAGAGAACTGTCCAACACTTCTGCACTGTGCAACTTCCACACTTCATATACAGAAACTGACAATCATTTTAATAAAGAGATGAAAAGGGTCTGAAAATTTCAGCAATATAAATTGACTATATTTTTGTGATTAGTGTCAAAGCCTTGAGTAGAATTGCAGGTACTTGCATATTCCTAGAGCAGCTTTGCTCTTAAAGCAGCAACCTGCTTAGGACAAACACGCAAGAAAAAAAGGCCAATTGTGTAGGAGAAAACACTAATTTTCTTATTATCAAGTTTATAGTTGCAAAACATTGAAGACTTGTACTCCTTTGTGTCCATTCACAACTTCCCTTTACAAATCCTCCTGCATAAGACTCCTCCACATGAACTCCACTTTTCAACAGGATCTACTGTTAATGATTCTGTACACAAGGCTGAATTACAGAATAATTTGGAAAAGGATCCAGTAGAGTAGGCAATAAACAGAATGGGTCATCGTTTTCAAAACAACAAATCAGCTTCTGGTTCAGATTGCACTTCCATTCCCTCCCTGCCCTGCACAATCACAGCAACACACCTCAGCTAAGAATTTCAGGCTTGTGGTCTGTGGCTGCAGCATTTCAACAGCTGCCTCCAAAATCCATCCTGCTTGCTAGCAAGCCTGCCACATGTTTTATAACAACTACTGGCAGCTTCTGGGCATTTTCCAATCATAAACATTAAAGCTTGATTAAATAATTATTGGTGTGTTTCTAAAGAAAACCAAGACACATGTTTCTGTCCCAAGTCAGACAGGGAGTATGTGGGCATTTCATTTGGGGTTTAGGGGTTCTGATTTGGGGGTTTTTGAGTTTGTTTTTTATAAGTGAGGCTCCTCATCTGCACTGTTTCACCACAATAAAACAAATGCACTATTGCACTTTTGACAAACCCTGTTAGGACATAAGGTTATCTAAGATGATCTCATTCATTTTGCTGAACAACATCTTAACATTGTTTTCTAGGCCAAATTTCAAGCCTCGGTGCTCATGTGTCTCTAATAACTGATGTATGACTAAGGCTCCATCCTTCAGCTGCACTCAGAGCCAGGATGTTTTTTGGAAAAAGCTGATGCTGTGCAACCTTTCTGTGTGAGGTACTGGGGAGTAAAACAAGTAAGCAAGAGGAATCCATGCTATACCTTCAGCGTCTCCATCCACCGTGGCTGTTTGACCTGATAGTAAACAACTGATCTGTACTCGCTCACAGGTTTGTCCCCTGCTCCCAAGCAGACAGCGTTCTTAAAAAGGAGGGGAAAACAGTGCTTAGTGCTTTGTTAGTTTCTGTAAATGTTTAGAACTTGAGCAAAACCAAAGGAACCCTGAGGAAAGCAGCACTCACAAGGTGCTTTCACAGCCCTCTCACAACGCCCTCCTAGGCCCCTCACAGCAAACGGGTCTGAATTTGGATATAGCATCCTTTGAGGTTAAATAATAGTGACAGCACCAACAGAGAGGAAGTGTTAATGTGAAGATACTGCATTTTCCAAGCCTCTGAACACAATGAAGATAAATGTTTTCCATAATCTATGGGCAGGGCCAGTGTAATTGGATTTTATAGGGGTCACACTGTGGGCTCTAAGAAGAGCTGTGGGAGAGACATATAATAGACTTGATTTCTCCAACTGATGAACTTAAGTAACCAATACATTATCTCAGTTACCAGAAGAAACATACAAAGTAAAAAGTAAATAAATAAAGATCTAGCTTCATTATTCCATTCATTTCTCCATTTACTTTAAAACACTCCATTTCAGGAGAATCTCAGAAATTCTTGGCTTCACACCAGAGGTGACTTCCAAACTGAATACCATAAAGGCACCCTCAGTAAATTTCCCATTCTCTAAAGACTATCAGGAGTAGTACAGATCCAATTGAAAGTTTAAAACTTGTGGAAACCTAGAAATGCAGTTTGCTTAGTGAATCAGTGAAGAGACTTGGCCTGCATCTGTCTGTCCTGGCTGACTGTGACTGAGGGATGTACACGCAGAGTAGCTGATCATGGAAGCATCACAGACATCAGACACGAAAATGGAGTGCATGAAGGAAGCAAACACATTAAATTCTCTACTGAAGGTGCAGATTAAACTAAACCTACCTAGGCTATCCTAACTACTGCAAAGATGAAATTTTCCTGTTTAAAATCCAGTCAATCTTACAAGTCTGCTTCAAACACAGGAGGCCCTGTGACCAGAAGGGTGTCATGCTGCTACCTGAAGGTGATTTGAACAGTCTGGTCAGAGTGATTTAACTGCAGAAAGGTGTTTATCATCTGCCTGAGTAGAGATTTTTCAAGGTTATGCATGCACTTGTTTCGATGTAGCCTGTGATATTCATTTGGAACAAAAGCCTTTTGCTTGCAATAGCAAATCTAGGCTTAGCTCTGCAACTCAAATGAGTTTGATACCAGTTTCCTGTGCAGGGAACATATAACTGCTTTGATTCACGAATAATGAGAAACACTGAAATTAAGATAAATTAATGGGGTTTAAAGTTTGTTGGGTTTGGGGTTTTTTAGAGGCTAAGAGGGAGACCCATTTAGGTTTTTTATTGCTTGCATTCAACAGCATTTCAATGAACTCCTCAACAATGAACATATTGCTTAAACTTGTCTAAGGCATATTACCCACAGAAGGCAGGCATGATATTTCACATCACAGCCAACATGACAAATCCACTTTATCCTAGTGTTTGCAGAAAGGATGTATCTGCAGAACTGAACATACGTAATATTGGCATGTGAGATTTAATGCATTGTAATAGGTTTATTTCTTTAGGGAATATTTTGGTGTACATGTATTTTAAGCATATTAATGGTGATTAGACAGAATACCAAATAGAGTTAACTTCTGTGCTTGCAAGTCACAGTTGGGTGCTGCCATAGGTGCTGGTTAGTAATCAGGGTTACAATTTGTTGTGTGGACCTTAAACATTATGTGGGTTTCCAATTTTCTTCACTCAAGCTTTGAAGTGACATTTTAGGTCAAGCAGTTAGTTGCAGTTCATAAACACATTTCAGCCAGTCATGAACCACAGTGAGTTACTCCATCTTTATTTTGTCTCAAGAAGTGTCATTATAATTTCACCCTCATGATCACAGCAGTGTCAAGCTGAGAAAACGAAAGGTCAAAAATTCCCCTGAATACCAAACTGGTGATAAACCCTAGGGAAAAGACCAAAGACCTTTAAAATGGGAATAGACTAGCAAAAAGACACTGTAAACATTTATGTTGCATATGTAGTTGTTGTCACTAATTTAGTTATTTGCCATGTACTTAATTCAAGGGACAATGACACAGACTTCCTGGCACAAACCAAGGGTTTGTTATGTACCAGAAATGGTACTTCTAACATTTTAATGTGCAAATTGCATTCCTCTGGGAATTTCCACAAGAAAATCCCCAGAGTAAGAATGCAGTAATTGTCAGAATCAGCATTTGTTCCTTGGCACAGCTAAAATAGGTCATTCAATGTTATTCCTCTTTACAGTTTTATGCAAGACATTTATAGGGCTTTAATAGATAGATCACTTGAAACATCATAAACCTTATCCATCACAAGATGTCACAAGTAAGGAAACGGCAAGTTTTTTAATCATGGTGTTTTATAAAAATTTATAAGTTAAGTCTTACTTCAAAAATGCAGCTCATGTTTCTATGCCCATGATACAGGAAAAATAAAAAGAAAGCTTACTGGCAACACTTTTCCTTCTTCATCACAAACACACATTATCACTTCCACATTTCTCTGAGTTGTTTTATTGTATTTATCAAAATCTCCCTGCATCAATGTAATATAAATGTCATTTCTTATATCTCCTAAAAAAGAAATCAAAAGGTTAAAAATCAATTAAAATGCTGTGAGAGCATAGGATCAACTGAAGTTAACACGACTACCTAGGGAGGTTTTTTTTGCAGTGAAACAGATAAAAATGTATTATTTTCCACCTGAACTTAAATTTTCAGTTCTTATTCTTAGGTAAGGAGAAACTACGATGTGATGAGAAACAACCAAATGGGAGCTCGAAGCAATTCCCGTCCTGCCCCGACACCTGCTGGTGAGGAGGCGATGATCCCGTCAGGAATTTTCCCCAAACACACAGCTCTCTTTCTAGAGGGAGCTTCACATTTGAATTTTCTCCTGTGAACGAATTCATAGGACTTTTAAAAGTATCGAAATCTTACTTGAGTTGTGGGGGAAAGGTTTGGGTATTTTTTAAAAAAGGAGCCCTGCAGACAGTGAGTGACTTCAAGTGAAAAATGTCTTGTCATAAATCCAAAAAATTCAAGAGACTGTAAGCTCATATATTTATTATCATTAAAGGACAGGATAAGTTACAACGAAAACAAGGCTATTTTAAAATTCAACTGACATACACCATAATCTTCTTACAGGACAAGAAAGCTATGTACAAGGAGACAGGATTATCCCTTGCTGTCTTGATATTATTTTTTTCTCTTTAAGTACTAGCAAATACTTTCCAAGGATTTCAGTATTTTATATAAGCCTCTAATATTAGAACAAAACTTAGCATGAGTGAATTCTAAAGAGCTTCTGCGTTACCTATTACAGAAATAAGGCTGCAGCACATGCTCATTAACCTAGGGAATGAGAAAAAAAATCCCTTCCTCTTACAGAACAAAGCACCTCCTACCTGGCATGATGATTTCAGGGAATCCCAATTTTCTGGCAACAACAGTGGTTCTGTCTACAAGGTGTGGGTAGTCCTTTCTGGTCTGAATCACATCTCCAACAAGCATTTTCACAGTTACCCAGAGGCCTATTGAGAGGGAAAAAAACTCAACATTTTTGGTAGAGAAATAAAAAAAAAAAAAAGAAATCTGTCTTCAGATGACTTCTACCCACCAAAACAGGGATAAGACTTCACTTTCCTTTTTTTTCCTACTTCCTGCAGATGGAACTCTGTAATCCAAAACTGCCATTACTAATTTAAAGAGCCTGTAAGAGAGTGTAACCAACTCATGCTTCTTCACTCCCAGCTTCAAAGTTGACCCACCCCCATGGTGGTGCTACTGCTCTAACACAAAGGCCTTTCTCTAATCAGCAAACAATATTAAATGGAGTTGCATAAAAATATATTGTTGCTTGAAAGAAAATGAAAAAAATGTACTTTACCTTGTCCACCACTGTCTCCTTTTGATGCAGTGATTTTGCTTAGGAGACTGTGTAAAAAGTCATTCTCTGCCACTACCCTGCAGGAGAAACCACAATGTCTACTAGGAATTAAGTGCTAAATATATCGAACACTATTCACCACACAAGTGACAAACAGCATCAGTCTTCTCTGCAGTACTTGACCTTATTGCAATACTTTCTGTAATGTCATTGTCTCTCACTTTCCCAGTGCACTTTCCCTGATAAATGAACTTGGTATTATTTTTGAATTTAGAAACAAATTCTCACATAACAAACATGTTGGATCAAATTGGAAAGAAGTGAAATAATAAACTACTGTGTCATACCTGGGTCCTTCAGAATTAAATTTATTCTCCATAGTACATAGCAGCAGTGCTATGTAGGATGCACAAAGAGATTTTCACTGTCTGGCATCTCTGCATTTGATCTGTGAGCATCACATTTTTAGGCAGCTGGTCTGGCATTTCTTTTGAAGAGAGTTAATGATGACAATTCTATGATTTTTTTTTTAATGAAACCCAGTTCTTACTCAGATATTTCTCAAATTCACAAGAGAAGCTCACAAATTAGTAGTTATCCTTGCTTGAAAAGCTTACTGTTGAGTATGTGCAGTTACTGGACTTGGGTTTGTGAAATGGGACAAGGTACCTGCTAAGTGCTATAATTCATAGAATTTAACCCCTGACAAGTCTCAAATGCCTTTTAAAGTCATACTTAAATAATTAGCACTATTACAACATAAAATTGTTAGAAGAAAAACTTACATATGTTTTAACTGTTTCACTGACTGTTACAGCCAGGGACAGATAAATGTTTTTGTGCATATCAAAAAGATATCTAGAACTGTCTTACGGGTGAAAGGGAATGAAATGCTGCTTTTCTTCATCACATTCAGCTTTTCCCTTTATGATGTCTGTAATATCCATGACTAGAAGAACAAAAGAAAAATCATTAAAATACATAATAGCATTTCAAAATTGCTCCTCTTACCTATGACTGATGTTCTTGTGCCTCAAGGTAAATATGGATTGTTCACTAGCAAGCAGTGTAGCCCAGCAGGGGGAGGTTTGTGGGCCAGAGCATTTAGTCAAAGTCCACACTACAAACGTGACCTTATGGTAAAGGGAGAATTCAGACTGGTTTTGGTCAAATCCTGTCAATACAGGTATGAGTGCATTGGTGGTGCTTTTGGGACATAATCATTGGCTTTATTTCATCTGCAAGGAATTCTGTTATTAAACTCTGGTACTGTGCTTTGGTTTGCACTGCTTAGCAGTAAGTATGAACTAGTAGGAAAATAAATTCAAATGCACATTTGTGAACTGGACTAAAATGCTAATGCAGGTGCAGTCTTTATGGACATAGTTGTGTATTCTACCAAGACATGTCAGAATACACATATTGTGTATTCTGACATGTCTTGGTAGAGATTCTACAGTTCAGGCTTGGCAAATGTCACTTGGGTTCTGCTTCAGCTATAGCACAGGAGACATCAGGTACCTGCCACTCCAAAAGGTCGTCGGAGTCCTTGTGTGTATTTCTTTGAGTTACTGTCTCTCAGGTCCATCCTTCCAACTCGAACTATCTGACAAACTAAATAAATTTTGTCTCTGCTAAGGTCTTTATTCCCAAGGTCCTAGGATACAGACAAAAAAAAGAATCATAGTAGACCAAGTTGTCAAATTTAAACAGGACCTTCAGTAATAAATTGAGCTTCAGTAATCAATGGGAAAAAACCACCAACCAACCAAAACAAAACCCAAAAACCCAAGAAACAAAAAAAACCTGAGCACACTAAAAGGATGAAAAACCTGACAGTTTAAAGTTTGAAGACAATACAAGGTAAACAGAGAGAACAGTAGCAATAAAGAGATACAGCAGATAAAAAAATAAAGTCATCAGTAAATTGATGAGGCAGGAAATTAACCTGAAGAAAGACCACTGCAGCACTATCACTGCCTTAAAGCACTCAATGACTGGTCCTCTTACTCTGTTTCTAAGATTACTTCTGCTTCCTTCTTCATCTTGCTCACTCTTCATTTCTGAGAGTGACCAGAGAGAACAGACAATTGCGTTTGCAAATATGAAGTAAGGCAAACTGGAATACACTTACTGTGAACACTACTTTAAGATTGTTGAGCATATCAATTTCCTTTGGAAAGCCTCGACTCCCCCATCTCACCAAGTAGTTCTCACTGTTTTGAAGATAAATATCTTATTGTCATGTGATTTAAAAATTCTTCCCTCACACAGTACATTAAAAACCACAGTACAGAACAAAAGTTGCATAACAGACAATGTGGTGATGGTTTAAATCTAATACCAGACTTAAAAGATGAGAATTCTATACAAATCATCAGTAAGTTTTGAAAAATACCTTCAATACAAGACATAGTGGCACCATGTTTTTTGAGGAAATGTTTCCATTGTCATAGTTTATTTGACAGAAACATTAAAGAGAATCTTTATCTTGAAATTTGTAAGTTACTCCCATTTTGCCCCTTTTCCTCTGCATTCAGCCCTTTACTCTAGACACCACAGTATTTCCCTCCAAAAATAATCTCAACTATCAAGTGGTCTCCAAACTTCTGAAATGTTCAATCCAGGAATTAACTACCAAAGGTTTTGGGATCCTAGAATCCGTCAGCAGGCACCAACAACTAGATCTGTCCAAACTTCCTTTCCATTTGCTTTTCTCTCCTTTATTTATACTACATTACTTGCATGTTGGCAGCTACTTGACTTCCTTTTGGCTGTCTCCTTTTGCTACTCACCTGCAACCAAAAGAAGAAAACTTACCTTATGACTGTTGATTTCTGTGGGTCATATAATGACATGAAGAGTTCTGCATCCTCTCCAATTCGGCATACAAAATTCCGCACAAAGACGTACAGGCTGTGAGTGGGGGATGAAGACATCCGGGAGTACGATGCATAGTCTGGCTGATCCTTCGACTACTCAGAAGGAGGAAAATCATTAGCTAGATCCATGAATTAAAATGGTGGGATACTACAGAAGTTTCACTTTTTATGATATGTAACAGCTGATCTTGAAAAGAAATAATCATAGAACGTTTGGATTAAAATACTTGTTTCCAGCAAATAAACATTACCCTGTGTATGGCTCTGAAAGCCTTTGCTTAATAAGGCAGCCATGATGAGCAAGTTTTTGACTCTCTGCACTGCTTCACCAGTGGATCAACATCCCTTTCTACTGTAAGCCTAGAGAACTAGCAGGTTAGAAGGTGCAGAAGTGACATAGATATGGAAGATCCCACCTTCCTCCTCTGAGCCTTTGCTGGACACAGAGATATAAAACCTCAGAGTGGGTTCTTTTCAAGACACTGCACCCAGACTAGGGACCCACCTTCATGTGAAATGATGACTAAGTTAATAGCAGAGATGCATTAAATCAAGTTTTGCAATACATAGGAGACGTACTTGGTATGAATAAGAACTTCCTTTGTCTGGGATTCTAAGCATATTATCATTTCCCTATAAGTGTCTGCTTGTACAAATGGAATAGGGTTTATGTTATTTTATTAATTTTTCCAAGAAACACAATAGTTAGGCTGTTTCTCTTCCCTCCTTCCTTCATATCCAGAAACCTGCCTTTACATTACTTTCACTAAGGAGAAAAGAGCCAGGTTGTTTCCCTCCTATATATGAATGTATTCAAAACCTTACCTCCCAAGCACATCATGCTACTTGTAATGGTTCTATTCTGAGGTCTTTTCCTAAAATTCTGGTAAAAGACTGTGCCTAGAAGATTTAATAGTGTTTTTGCTCTGCTGCAAGGACCTTTAGGAAAAGAGAAAAGGGAGTTGGGCTCAATGATCCTTATGGTTTCCTTCTGACTTGAGATATTCTATGATTCTGTGATTTCCATGTTTGGCCATGGAGCAATTATATAATGGCTGAAACATTATCATCACTTTTAAAGAGGAGAGCAAGTATCAAGCTGTCACTACAGAGACAAGCCTACTAGCCCAAAAGAGATGGTTTTTGAACACAGTGGCATATAGCAAAAGACCTACTATCCACATCATGATGGGGTTTCAGTCTGCTTGAAGCAAAACAAAATAAGTCTCTTTGAAGAGAAGACAAATAACATTCTGTGATCAGGACACAGCTGAGTGTGTTCACTGACTCAAAAAGAGTCTCCTGAATTCTACCTACATCCCAAATTAACCACCAAGAATCAGCTACTTAACACCTGATGGTCTAAACCCATTGTTTGACTCTATTTTTAGAACAAGGTACCACGGTCTATTGCAGACTCCCAAACTTAATTTTCCTTATATTGTCAGTTAATTACATTTTGATGTGTGAAAGCAAGATGTATTTAAGGACAATGTTGAGAACAACTCAGATGTTTTCCAGTGATTTGTCATAGGCATTATTGAAGTGTCACGACAACACAACTATTTTCTGTCAAGTATTTTACTTGCTTTATTACAGTTTCCTTTCTCGTGAATGGAGAAAATAACCCAAGTAGCTTACAAATCCCTGAAGAGATTTAACATAGATAAAGGTCAAAAAGGTGTAGTCGCCTGCTTTGCATTTGAAAATGATTAAATTTATGCACTCATCAGCTTTGCTTCAGCATTCTAACTTCTGATGTCCACACAGTTATGCAGAGTTCACCTAAGTTCCTCTTTAGTGAGCTTAAATTCCTGAACTTCATCAGACTAACTAGCAAGCAGCAACCTACAGCAAACAACTAGTGTTGTCATGAGATCTTCTAAAAATAAGCTCTGGTTAGTCATGATGTGCAGCCTGAACTCCGAGTATGTAACTGTTCACTATGCAATTCAGCCTACTGAGTAGCTCTCAGATGGAGTGAGGAGACATATTTCCATATAAGAATCCAAGAATGGATTTAGCACCAGCTTTAGACCCAAGCTTTCAGCCTAGCCCACAGCCTGAATCCAGTACACAAATGAAGCTAACTCAGTTTTGAGGCTTAGCCATATTCCTAACACATCAATGTGAATCCACTCTTAATGAAGTCAGAGGAAAAAGTTTCCACCAACTTTTATGGAGAAGTTTGCATCCTTCAACCCTTATACTAGTGTTTTGTTTGGATTTTAGCAAAGGAAGAATTAAGTTTGGCCAGTCATTCCTACCATTTCCTCCTTAATTCGCTCAGAAATTTTATTAGTTGCTTCTTCATGTGCATGAAATAGGCTGATGACACTGGTTTTATCTGGATCCAAGATATTTCCATCTTCATCTCTAACTATTAGGTCTAGCTCAAGTATTCTGTGAAAATACAAAAGGCATAATGGCACAGTTATTTTGGTTATATGCAATCCCTAACCATTTTAAACATGCCCTTCACCCCTGTCCTTCCAAAGGAAGCATTGTACAGTCTCATAATGTAGAAAGAAGACAAGAGTGTAAAAACAGAAGTCTGAAATCAAAAAATGTAATCTGAACCAGAGCTAGGCTTCTTTGATTGAAACATTTCAAAGTACACTCTGCCTTGGAGTGACCATTCAGCTTCACACAATGTAGCAGGATATGTGCATTCCATAGTGTTCCATGTGAACACAATTCACCAGAAATTTGCATCCAAATCACAGCAAATGAGTGAAGAGTTTATAACATCCTGTGGTCATTGTTTATGTGTAGCCACAGGGAGCTGAAAACTTGCAGCTGCATAGAGGCCTTCAGGCCACAACGACCACAGTCACTGGAAATAGCTAAAGACAATTTATAAGCAGATTCCAATGCCTGTAATACCAATGCTATAAAGACTTTTTTACCATGCTCTCTCTCTCTGCCTTTATCAGATGGTAGAACACCACCAACCTCACATGACCCCACATTTTTGCCAAAAATTATGTTGTGTTGCAGCGACTTGTCACCAGCAAGATGCAGACAAGATAATTATTCTGCCCCTGGCAGTTTCACTTCTATTACCAGAGCTAGAGTTCTGCCTGGAAATTCCCTAGTTTGGTGTGTTTGGTATGGAGGGGCTCTGTGTGTGTGTGTAAGGGTGGTGTCTTTAACACAGCCTTTCTACACACAGCAGACTTTTCAGACTTACTATGGTCTGTCAGGACCAACTTTGAAGGTCACATAACATACTATACACAGGCTATGTTTGTCAAAGATGGACAAGTTTTGAGTCCTGAGTACACTGATGATATATGCATATAAAGGCCAGTTATCTGACCTCAAATCTTTACAACTGACAGGCTTATATATTTATAATTTACAAACAAATTAATATTTTGAACAAGTGGTTTGCTATGAGAAGCCTCAGTTTTATTTCCACAGGAATAGCAGGGAGAAGTTTGAAAAGGAAGATTCAATATGAATCAGATTTTTGAGTTCCAAAACTACCAACACAAACACATCATCATTTCTTTGATGATATGCTTTAAAATAAATCCTGTTTTCCAGAAGCAATGTAGGCCACTTACTTGTTCCCATAGTCAATTTTGGATGTGACTTTCTGTTTGAGTTCTTTGAGCTCATCTTTTGGCAAAGTCCCGGAGAGAAGCTGTGACCGCCACTCCATTAAGTCATACATCATTGACTGCACCTGCTGGAACCTCTCTTTCTTATTTGTCTAAGATATAATAGAAAACAATAAATTCCAGGCTTCAAGTGGTAGTGAAATGTTGGTCTTGCCAATTAAAGGCTGTGTCATATTTAATGCTAAATGACTGCATGAGCAAGAAGTAGGCGAAGTAATGACCTTGACTTTTGTCCTCCTCTCATCCCACAAATGGTTAAGGACAGAATCTCCTATGTGATCATAAAGAAATTACATAAAATTTAAGCATTTTGTATGGGGATAGGGAATTGTGTTGTTTTTGTTTTGTTTAATTGTGTTGTTTTAAAATTCATTTACAAAGTCTCATCAGGAGAAAACATTCCAGAAGCAGTTTTCTTTTGTATGAGATCCTAGTAAGAGCATGCTGGGAACAACAGCATTTGACTGTGGTATTAAGACATATAAAAGAAAAGTGAGAGAATGCACAGAAGTCACTAAAGTAGTTGTAGCATCATTCACTGAAACAAGAAGGGTTTTTACTGTTGACTTTAAGAAGTGGAAGAGTAAGACGTGACATGTTTCAAAAATTACATGTTTTAGAAAACTACACCATATTCAAGATTTCTTTTTTCCAACAGAGTAAAAGCAACATCCAATGGTTGTGATCCTGCAAGAGTGAGCAAAAGTCTTGAAACTGCCAGTTGCTAATAGCTACATGCTCCCAGTAACCCCTGAACAACATTTGTTCTGCAATTCCAAGAGCATCATCAATCTTTTTCAAATGCATCTTACTTATGTTTGATACTCTTATCTGGAAACTTTTCAACTCTATAAATCAAAATTACGAAAAGTGTATCATGTACACTGTGCTCAAGGTTGAAACAACAGGCATGAAGTCACCCACTCCTGAGCAGTAAGTCAACCTTTTCATTTCCAGATGCACAGAATCACTGAGGTTGGAACTGACTTTCAAGATCATCTAATCCAGCCATCTAACCCAGCACCACCACTGCTACGCTGATGGTTGGACTAGGCTGAAAGCTACTTGACATTTAAAGCTACTGAAGAAAATGGTAATTATCAAAGCAGCAAAGAAGCAATTTCTTAAGTCCATGCAGACCCTGCCCTGAATCTGGGAAAAGACACTGATTTGAACAAGGCCTCAATATGCATAAATAGGACTGACTAGCAGGCAACACACAACATGCCAAGTATCATACCACATAGAGCTGTTTCCAGATGCTTCCCCATTCCCAGAGAGTAGTGGTAACTTCTTGAACTAAAGGAATTTCAGCAGGTATTATATTTTCTGTATGTCTAGAAAAGAAAAGAAAATTTAACACGAAGACTGTGTTTCATGAGTTTATATTATAGTTATAGTTGAGGTATAAAAATGCCTTATAACTCATTCTCTAGCAGACAAGATCCTTGTCTAGAAAAGAAAAGAAAATTTAACACGAAGACTGTGTTTCATGAGTTTATATTATAGTTATAGTTGAGGTATAAAAATGCCTTATAACTCATTCTCTAGCAGACAATGAGACAATAACATAATAAAACAGATAAATTTGATACCTTTTCTTTTCAACAGTAACTTCCTTGATGTGGATAAAGGATTTAGGAAATATTCCCTGTTGAAGGAGAAAAACCAACATAAATCCACACTTATTCTCCAGGACCATTTAGGTAAGAACCATAACTATGAACATAAACTGTAATATCCAAATTAACTGTCAGCTATGTAGTTTTCTGCCCAGAGAGATGCATTTCTATTTGACAGACAAATAATAGAAGTTTTGTCACATCCTTCTCTGCAAACACAGAATGCATAGGATTACCTTTCTTCATAAGAAACACCTTCTTCCACCCTCCTCCCCCAGAAAACAGTATACTTAAATACAGTTGAATACAATACAATTTTAATTCAGTAAAGAAACATTTTCTCTGTGCATCAGCCCATACATTTCACTTTTCCCCACTAAAGCAGTCTAATTTAGAGATAGATTAATTATGAAATACTGATACAGGATCATTGCACCTACTGAAAAAAATACTGATAGACACAAAAAATGACCCCAGATCAGAACAGGACTATCTAGTAAGACATACTAAAAAGAAAACCACTTCATGGGTGGATTCCTTATAAGTAGCCTCATAGGAATGAACAGTGTGATCTTACCTCTGCTCCTTTGTATCTTATTAGATAACCCTTATACCAATCTAAAAGGAAGAAAGACCACTTAGTATGACAAAAAACTTGCATTAAAAAGCATATAATAAAGTCATAGGTTTTATTTCATATAGGAAATATCTAGCCTAGTACTTGCAAAAATTCGGAGTTACTTCAAAAATACCTAGATTAGAGTGAATATCAGGAAACCTATTAAGCATGACTTGCATATTAGCAAATATGGTTATATGGTCTCCTTTCAAGTCTTGCATAATAAGTACAGATAATCTTACACAGGATTTAACAGCCCTACTCTCACAGTAAAAAGGTAGGATTAGGTATTTTGCAATGTAAGATATAAACCCACCCTCCACATATATATATATATATATATATCTCAACCAAGATCACTCAGGGTACTGGATAACCCATGAAGCCCTTCTGTTTGTCTTCTAGGTGTAGTATTAATTCATTGTGGTTCTTACATGACCGATTTTGTTGAATGTAGTAAGACTAAGCCATCTTTCTGCCACGAGGCATTAGAGCTTTTGGACTCAACTCAAATCAGCAGCTTCCTAGTGTAAGGTCCAAGTTAGAACCTCAAGAAAACAAAGGGCTAATACTGGGCACAATGAAGTACTGCAGTAGTAGCAATTGAAATATGAATTCAGATTTAATTCCATGTATTTCACAGTTAAGTCACAATAAACTACAAAGAGCACAAAATTACAGCAAAGAACATGACCACTGTGCACACACTCCCTCATGAACATTTACCTGCATGGAAACACTATTTGACTCTGTTGAATACTTCTTCCATTTCATCCCAAAGAAAGCATTATATGACTAAAAGCATAAATTTTCTGATGATAATTTCATTAAGAGATAATATCCCTTTGCTACCACCTTTTCTGTCTCACCATTTCTAACACAGCACAAATATTTCAGCCATGCAATCGAAGCATAAAACCAATAAATCCCAAACACCAAACAATACTGTCAGAAAGGTGATGTTAAAAGTCACAGGAGGATCACTGACCTCAAAGAAAGACTCAGAACAGGTTTTTTTCAGGTTTTTCTGCACTGGTATTTTTTTCCCCAGTGTCTTCTCAACAATAAAATTCCATCTTAGTTCCAAAACTGATTTATTTGCACATAGTCTCAGTTTACAGCCAAGTGTGTAAAATGTATTTCACCCTATTTGCTGTGACAGCACATGTATGTTCTGTGCATATACTTTGTGCATGCAAAACCAACTAAAATAGCATATAACATGAGCATAGGAAAAAACCTGTAACTGTTGGTTACTCCCAGCTGCAGCTGGTGGCATATTTTTTAAGGTATCTGATAAAAGATGAACTTCACTCGCACAATGTGGATGATTCCACTTCTTTGTTGACAAACATTTCATAAAGCAAGCTATGACACTGTGTATCAAGGGCAGAGGATTCAGAACAGAGTTTTAGATAAAAAACAACCCCAGAAAATCAGCACTCAACTTGCTAGGTTGGGCTGACAAATGTACCTTAGGGATCAAACCTGAAATGCTATAGCTGAACTAAAGAACAATGCAAGGATGAAGGAGTTTCGGGTTTGTCTTCATCTTCTCTTAGCCAAAATGGAGGCCTAAAGAATTATGCAGACCTTTCAGTTTTTAGAAGACATGGATCATTACTCATGACTAAGAGATTGACCTGTTGATTGCCTAAGAAGTGACAGCAGTGTTTTCCCTGCTACATATAGTGCATTTCTCTTGCAAGTAGAAGAAAAACCATATGCTTCTGTGCCCAAATACATTGGAAATGTGGTTTCTCAGGTGCTCCTCTCTCAAATCCTTCATTGTTTCCGTGCAAAACGACCTAGAGCTCTATGCAGTGGAACAAGATCTGTTCAAACAGCTTCAGAGTCTTTGCAGCCTTGTGACCACAACATACAAAGTGTCTTTCAACACTGAGCTGTCTCTAACTGCATAACACAGCAGTTGGCCTTTCTCTTTAACATAGCTACAGTTAACGAGATACAAGAGACATGTTCTATCAGCAGAAGGAGGCTGAAGAAGATAATTTTACAATACATTTTGCAAAGCTTTAAGCACTATATAATTCCTTTTTAAACTCTTAACCTGGTCAAGAACATCACTACAGGTTGAAAATAAATTACTATTATAATGATAATTTCAGATCTCTAACTGCTGACTTAATAATAACTACACCTTTCTTGCTTTATCCTAATGAAAAATTCAGTAGCTCTGGGAGACTTGGGAGAGAATTCAGTATGATCATGAACCAGTCTGGAGGAATACATTATCACTATAGTACTGACAGTGAATTCAACTTCACAATTATACAAAATTTCATGTTCACTTATTCTTCCATTTCTTGTGTTTATTTGATGCTTGTGCCAGTCAGTCAGATACCTCCACATTCAGACTACATAAGTTTGGCTCAGCATATTGACTGTCTGTCATGTATGACTTGACAGACTTTTGCTGCTTATCATGTTCAATAAGTTGGATGGTTTTCAGAAATGTTCCTATCAATCATGCTGACCTACAGATTACTTTAACAAACAAGGTTTAATACTCATACAATATGATGACTAGGGTGCTGGATATCTCCTAGCAACAAATATTCAGTTTAAAGGCAAAACTCATTCTCCATTAAAACTTCAATCCAATTTAAAGTCACTTCCATCAGGTATATTATAAGCTGGCATGAACTCCAAACTCTACATTCACCTTGATGACTTCCTCATTTAGTAATGACTTCCCCAAAAACCACATGTACTGTAATATTTCTCATTTTGGCTCTCCAAAAAAGAATTGGTTCTTCCTCAAAACAGACCACCACCAATACAAGTACAAGCATTAGACAACTACTAATGTAACACAGAGAACTGTTGTGAAGTGAAAGGATTACATTATTCACAATGAAACCTATAGCCCGAAGGCACGTGACTTACCTTCACAGGACTCCAAGATATGGACCACATCACCGATCTGTAGAGATAGCTGTGGCACTCCTATGCCTTTGAAATTGTATATAGCTGAAAAATTAAAGGATGAAAATACTGTTTTTCAATACAGCAATACACTGCAGTTAGACTGAAAAACAGATATGGTTATTAAGATTCTGATACCAGGATAAATACATTAGGATAGACAAATAGAACCATAATTCTATCAGGAAGTTGCATGTGTCACCATTATTTAATTTCTTTTCTTGTGAGAATGGAAAGGTCATGAAAATGGGCAGTGCTGAAAACAACACAAACCCCAAACAAACAAAAATCCACAGAAAACTCAGCATGTACACAGAAACAAACTATTCACCACCACTGCTCTGCACAGGATGTTAAGAACACCTATGCAGATGAAGGTCTTCAATAAATACATGTTCATAGTGCTGGAGAATTGCTAGTCTGCTGTTCCAAGAATTTCAGTGCACAGTTTACAGAAATTTACGGCTACACTGGTGAGAAAGGGCACAGAGTTGCATATGAAAACTGAATTTACTCAGTTCTTTCCTGGGTTTAGATGCTTCAATTTAACATGAAACTGTCTTTCATATGGACACAGTAGAAAGTTTCATAATCTTCTGTATTCTCTCTCTGACTCTGAAAAGAACACAGGAGCAGTGGATTTTACAAGTGTTCTAATCAGAAGCTTATCTATATGTGGTTAAGAAATGGCAGAGTTTCAGAGAGAATTCAAGAAAATAAGCCTCCTTACTAGCTCTTATGTTCTAGGGCTACAGGATGTGGGCTGCTATGGTAACCATGTGTCTCTGTAAAGTTTTTTCTTCATGGGCTTGGTTATAGCCTTTTACAATAGCGTTACAGAGTAGAAGTGGTTGTTGAAGCTAGAATCACAGGGAAACAGATTAAAATATGTATGCCTGAAAGCCCAATTAAAGTGTGCAGGTAGGAACAGTCCACTGGCTGCTGAGCATGACCTCTGCTGTGCAGTAAGATATCAGTCAGCAGAGCTCTCTGCCTTTGCTCACGGCAGTGCCCCAATCCAGACACACATACACAGCAACCAAACTTGGAGTATCTTGGAGTAGGGGATAACTCATCTATAAAGCAGAGTCTACCTTCCACATTCCTTTTGCTCCCCACTCCAGGCTTCTAAAGGAGGATATTCATCTCTGCTAGGCAAACATGAATTGTAATGACACATTTTATTTAAACATTTTACTTAGTTATGTTAAGTCTCAAATTAAACCACCTTTCAGGGAAATGCCTCAGGTAGGAGTGCAGAGCTTAACAGATTCATCCTGTTCACAAGTGTTCCATAAATTATGCTTGTTTCTTTTGCCATCATAATATTTGTTATATTCCCAGCCATTCCTCCTCCTAAGTGTAGGAGGGTAGAGCAGTGTTTGAACCATTCAACATATGGGGAGGAGGGAAAAAAGAATAAATTTGACATGAGGCTCTGCTGCCCAGATTCAGCCATTTAATTCAAGAGAATCTTGAAGACACTTCCTCAGTGATGTTCAGAGAGCCTTAGCTCAACACAAAATCAAATTTAAGCAGTAGATGTGTACAGTACATGTGCAGTTACATTCTGACTGGTTTCCTTTCAGAAGTGGAAGATGGCAAACAACCCAGCTAAGTTCTTGTGACATTTAAAGAGACATTTCCACTGGAGGTGTGGGAAATGTGAGTGCATGCTCATGCTCTTACTGTTTTCCTGAAGTGTCCAAGCAGATGAATATTATTGTTGACTAGTATATACACCTTAGATTTCAAAATATGCTCTGCTCTACTTATTTGTAGGTGTCTCAAAATATACATGCAAATTACTGAGTCATATATTTACATTGTGTACTGGTAAAAACTTCATTTAACACCTATGAATATACTGAAAAGTGCAGTAACAAACTGACAAAGGAAGTGGCTGTATCAGCTTAGATTTTTCTAAATGAGTAAGTGCAAACTTAGCAAGTGAGGTTTTACTGTAGAACTTGGATTGCTTGGTAGGATGAGTTTAACAAACTTCTTCAAAAAGTTTTAAGTTATAGACATATCCATTTTGTGATAAGACACTCTCTCTCAGATACAGAAACACAGAATCACAGAATAATCAGAGATGGAAGTGACCTTTGAGGATCATCTAGCCCAACTCTTGGCCCTGCACAGGACATCCCCAATAATCACACCCCGTGCTGAGAGTGTTCCCAAGCACCTCTTGAACTCTGTCAGGTTGGTGCTGTGACAACTTCCCTGGGGAGCTGTTCCAGTGCCCAGCCACCCTGTGGGGGAAGAACCATTTCTGTTGGGAAAGGTGAAGGTTCCGTGCGGGGAAGCAAGCGGCCGACTCTGTGTGGGTGATACAGCAAGCTCCATCTTTATTGTCCGAAAGGCTCTTTTTTATACAGTGCAGAAGCAGGCGTACAATTATCCATCATTTTTAATTGGCTAG